GTTTCCCCCCCCCCCCCCCCCGTCAAACCACCACAATCTCGGCTTACAGGATGGTATTTAAGCGATCGTACCTTGCGGTGAAGAGCATGCTGGAAGCCAACCTCCTCCGCCGCTTCCTCAACACGGACCAATTCAAGAGCGTCAGGAAACAGAGGGAGAACGTCCAGGCCATGATGGACTCCCCGCCCCTGCCGGCGGGAGTCGTAGCTGCCTAGCCGGGAGTTAGATGGGGAGGCGCAACGATATGGGTGGGGCTGGGTTCCTTGCGGATGTGGGGTAGCTACGGTGGCATTAGGCTACGATCTCACTCGCTCCAATAGTAATCGGGTCTCGGAAGTATTCACCGGTTCCAATGTCCCATCATTCAAGCAAGCCAACCGTTTTGGCGAGGGATGTTGAGCTAGATGGCTGACGGCATTTAAATGCACTGTTGCCGTCAATGTAGAGGTATTGGCTCCCCGCTCAGGTGGGTAGCGGGAGTAGCTCCTGTCGGAAGTAGTGTGGTGGAGGGTAAGCAGGCAGTTCAGGGGCGTGGAGTTTAAGCCCTCAAACATTGTGCTCGGAAAGGGTGCGAGGGAATTGGTTGGTTGGTCGCCCTTGACACCAATCTCCTTGGGTCTTCCTTGACGCGCCGGGAGTAATGTGTGTTTCAAGTGATGAGGACAACGCACAAGGGCTGGACAGGGTCATGGGGGCCTGGTTGTTTCCAGCTGTCTCCTGGAGACAAAGCGAGAGATATGGGGGGGGATGAGGTAGACGCTGGTCGAACCTGGACTGGACGGGAGGACCACCAGGACTGTGTAGTGCACCGGGCATTCGAAGAGTTGTTGCTGGAAACTAGTTACGCTTGGCTCGGCGTCCTCCCCAGCTCGGGTGCGGATATTTGCGAAGTTACTTCAGTCTGAGGAAAATTTTCAAAGCCGAAACGCTCTGAGTGGAAAGAGCGAGGTAGAGATGAGCTTTATTGCACGTTTGTAGATAGCGCAGGGTAGGATTTTCATGATTTAAGATGGACACACAAGGAGATTTCATTTGCAGCGATATTCCCGTTGTTGTAACAGTGCGGTGCGGTGCGGTGTGGTGCGGTGGGGGGTGTTTATTTTTTCTCGATGTTTGACCGTACATGGCCTAAGTGGACGGGGTTATTTTCATCCTGAAGTGCAACGGTGCGGTGCGGTACGGTACGGTGCTGTTGCGGTGCGATTTTTCATGTCAGGGTGCGGTGCGGTGCGGTGCGGTGCGGTGCGGTGCGGTGCGGTGCGGTGCGGTGCGGTTATTTTCATCCTGGAAAGTGACGTTGCGGTGCGGTGCGGTGCGGTGTGGTGCGGGTGCGTTTTTCGTTTGTCGTGAAATGCGAAGTGCGGTGCGATGCGGTGCGATTTTTTTATGTCACGGTGCGGTGCGGTACGGTTCAAACCTGACCACACTGTTCATACACACTGCATTACCTGGTTGTTTGCACCAAACGTTCGATTGCGATAGACTGGAGTGAAACGTGATGTGGCAAAAGCGAAGTTGCTTCATCTCGAGTTTGACTGTACGATACTGGGGGGGGGGGGGGGGGGNAGGGCGGTTTAAAACATGGTTGGGTTTGAACGAGTGCAAAAAGTTTAGAGGATGACTTGCGGGGGATCCACCACGACAAGGCAGTAGGCAGTAGGACACACCAAGCGAATAGGCGAACGCCTCGCCGCGGCAAGTGCATGGTGAGCCAACGCACCTCTTCCGTCGGCACTTCTTTTGTTTGTTTTTGCCAACCTATCTTCCATGTAGTTGATGGTATTGGGCCGAGAGACTCGACTCTACCCGCAGAAAGGGTTTTCTGATCGCTTGCTCTCTTGTTCTGTTCCCTAGTGGCAATAACCAGCATCTACAGGGGGGCGAAGACTGCCGTTGACGGGGGGAGAATATTGATGTGGATGAGGGCATGCTGCTTGCTGGCGTCGACAAGCATGAGTTGTGGTCACTCACTGTGTGTTTTCATTCATTCGCCGTTGGTTCGTTGATTTATGTTGGTGAGGGTTGGCCTGTAGATTCCGGATAGGAGATTTCTTGAAAGCTTGTAGATGATACGTACATTACCTCCTTCGAAGCCAGTAGCTTTGCTGCCCAATCGCATCCGAGTCAAATTGCTGGAAGATCAAGAGTTGTGTTCGTGTTTCCGTAGTTAGTCTGAACAACTCTCCTATCTAGCACCCAATCGTTGACTTGGTCATCATTTACTAGTAGTGAGATCTCCCCATTCATTGCATTATTTTAGGTATCTTTGGTTGCGAGAAGGTGCCACAGGCACAAGCAAGTTCAGTTCCAAAACAATCTCTCTCTGTAGGGGGATGCTTGGTGTTTTTCAGACTACTCGGTCACCAGAGATTCAAGTATGTCGACCTCTGGAGCTATTGTGGACTACCCCTTTGCCTAAAGTTGAGAAATAGTGTTTTTCCGTGTTAAACTTTTCTGGATTCTAAATTAGCAAGTATAGTGCAGTCTACGACCCTGGACCGATCAAAATCGCCCACTCCGATGCTCGCAACCCCACCATCGAGACTGCCGTCTGCGGATCATGGTGACTCCAAGTTCACGGCGCTTTCGCTGTCTTCTTCGGCAATATTATTGGTATGTCGCGTGGAGCCGCTGCCGATGGTTCGTTGCCCGATGAGTTTACGCGCATCGAGTAGCGACTGCCCGCTGGTGTGTTGTGATTTCGATTGACATAGTATTGCTGCCGTTCGGCTGCGATGTAGACCAAGTTTAGGCGCGTGGCTGATTTTAGTGCCGCAGGTTTTGTCCGTTTGTTTCCGTCCGTGTGTTTGAGCTCCTCTTGCTCCTTGACGCGGCGGTGTAGGCCTGCCTTTTTTTCGTAAGTGCGACCCCTTCCCCCGTTGTTGTGACGTGCGGTTGTTGCCGTTTGGTACGTCGTGGTGCTCGGCACACGCACGTAGTGCGTCTGCCTGTTATGTAAGTTCTGTCGTTCTGACGACCGTACGCAGTGAGCGATTTTTCTTGTCGATCCGACGATACAGGCATTTTTTTGTTCGTCCTGACGATGTTTTTGTTTACTCGAAAGTATGTTGCCTCTTCTCTTCGTCTTCTCGGGTTACGAACTGGCTGCTGCACAGTTTTTTCCGTGTTGACTTTTGCTGCTGCTTGTTGTCCTTTCGTTCCTTTTCACCCCAGTCTACTCCTTCGTGTGGCTCAGTTTTTAGGCGAGCGATGGTCTTCTTGCGACCTATCGCTCGAGTTAGAGAGGTGTGGGAGGGTGATTTGTTGTCCGCATCCATCCTTAGTCTTCTCAGTCGTAGATCCGGCAACAAAATTGCCACGTCTTGGGAGTCAAAGATCATCTATTCTCGAGTTTTCTGGGCAGTTTAGCCTCTGGTTCGCCCTCGAGAGCCCGTGCTGGGTGTGGAGGTCTGTTGCGCCGCGAGCCGCCTGATCCGAGGGGTTTCCACAGGGGGCTGCTTTCCCGTTGGAAGCGTTTTTTCTCACTTACTTTTTATTTTTTTCAGTCGTGCAGCACTGACCAACACAGACAGGTAAATTCGAAAATATTTGTAGACACATTCCTTGTCAGCAGGATGGATTCCAGGAGGTGCTCGCAAGACTTTACCTTCCTCTGATGGAAAATGTGGCAAGTCAAGAGCAAATACATGTGCACAATAAGAGAATAAATAGAACGTTGTCCTCCTGGCAACGCTGTCTGTGAAGGTGTTCGACTACGGTAAAGGTCAAATGACGGGTGCCTTGTTCGGTATTGGGGTCCTTCTCAACTAGACACAGCAGGTTGTATCGACTTCACGGTCGACAAGGGAAAGGAGGACTGAACCCTTCCCTTAAGAAGGGTTAAAACAAGCACCCCAGCAGGACAGGTGGGGCATTATATAGAACACCATATTAGCACAGGTCCGTTCTGTAGGGTACTGATACTTCTGTAGGGTACTGGG